AGTGTACAAGGCAATGCTTTTCATTATAGTAACAAACTTCAGCTCTTGCACAATCATCAACCTTTCGTTGTGATGCTGAATTTGAGAGTTTCTCTTATTTGATGTTGTGATCATTTGTACCTCCCCCTGCATTTCCAGCTGGGTGGCACCATTGGAGACATTGAAGGAATGCCCTATGTGGAAGCCTTCAGACAGTTCCAGTTTAAGGCCAAGAGAGAGAATTTCTGTAATATCCACGTGAGCCTTGTCCCACAGGTAGGCTTTGCGGAGAAGCTTGTCTATAACTTTTCCTTTCTTAGGATATTGTTTTTAATGTGTGTTTTAAATTTGTAAAGGAAGTCATCTTCTACCTAGAAGAGCTAGATGTCCAGTGACCTCTTACCTTACTTTTCAGCCCAGCACTACTGGAGAACAAAAAACAAAACCCACACAGAACAGCGTCCGTGCGCTGCGAGGCCTGGGGCTCTCTCCAGATCTGGTAGGTGAAGGAGAGTGGGTAAGTTTGGCCCTGAGGATGCTTGGAATAGTCCTTTATGGCACCTCCATATCTCAGTCTGTAATATCATCGAAGTCTCTTCTAGTTTGAAAATGATTCTGATGATGCTGAGGGTTTTGTTGTTGTTTGCTTTTTTAACCTGGGAGCCAGGGATAACCTTTTCCTTGGGCTTCAGTTGACATGTGTCTTTGTTTGCCATTTGTTCTTCTCCAGGCCCTCATTTGCTCGGCCTCAAAATGGAAGGCCAAGTGCAGTGTCCTTGAGAGTGAGGGTGGGACCTCGGAGATTTTCGTAATCTGCCAGGATGGGGTATCTCTGCTCATCGTTTTCAGTCAAAAGAATCATGTGTCCTTGTCATCCTAAGTCTAGTCCAGGGGTCGGCGCACCACCACTTTGAGGCTATCTGCCTGTTTCTTTCTTTTTTCCCCTTTATGTGGTAGAATATATGAAAACAATTACCGTTTTTATGTGTTCATTGCCTTGTGCAACCCTGACCTTTATTCACTTGCAATGATTTCATCACCCTGAGTATAATGACTACTTATTTTTGTAAATATAATTTCCTAGGGACCCTTTGAGGGTCATATGTTTACATTTTACCTGTGGTTGCCTTTTAAATTTAACAATAAAGCGGTCAGGACGGAGACCACATGGCCCTCCACAACATCTTAAAGATGTTCAGCATTTGGCCCTTGACGGAACAAGTTTTTTTGACCCCTGGCCTAGTTCTCTTCCTATATTTAAAGAAGCACCATTTCTGAGCTTTGGGCTCTGCTCACTAGAGACATTTCAAGTGTCATTTTAAGTCTTTACTGGTAGGTGTATGTGCTGTTTGATTACTCGTAGTGATAGAGCGCCTGGGCCACTTTCTCAGGTTCAGAGCAGTACCTGAGTTTGCAAGCACATTCTTGGCCCAGTCCCTCAGCTTGAAGTGAAGCTGACCTCCTCCTCGTGAGTGGTGGCGCGCGGCCGGCCAGCCTGCTTCCTGCTTCCTGACCTGTGTCTGCTTCATTCGACAGATTGTCTGCAGAAGTGTGGCGCCCATAGAAATGGCCGTGAAGGAAAAGATTTCTATGTTCTGTCATGTGAAACCCGAGCAGGTGAGTGCTCCTCTGCACATCTGATCGCCTCGCGGGTACTCCTGTTAATGCCACCACTTTGCACCTCTTACATCAGCAGCATTGGGGAGAGCTTTGGGGGCTCTTCTTCAACCATGGCTCCCTTTGCTCTTAAGTGGATTGTCTTGAGGCTCCTGATTCCTTTGAGAGAGTTCAGATTTCTTTGCATAATCATTGCTTAAGTTACAGAAGTAGGGTGGGGTATTGAACGCATGGTCAAACCTCCAGTGAGAAAACCCTGATAAACTTTTGTCAGCAGTTTGCCCTGTCTTTCTGGAACACGTGGCACCCTCACTGCAGCTTCTCCTTTGTACTTGTTACAGCTGAAGTCACTGCAAACCACACATGTGCCAGCACAGTCCCGCTGTCACCTCCGATTGTAGCCTGTGTTCTAGTCATTGGAGCACGATGTGGGTGCAGGCCTCTGTGCTGCAGGACTGTCCGCCTGGGGCAGCCCGAGAGTCATCTCGCTTGTTTCCTCTGTTCTTTTAGTGCTGTCTCTTGCTCTGGTGGGAGAGATCGGACTGGACTGTAGTTTAAACAGGGCACTCAGGAAAAGGCTGAGGTTTGACTGAAAGCTTTCTCTTCTTTTTTTTTAAAATTTATTTTATTTTCTTATTTGTGTGTACCATCAGATTAGATCTGGCTGATACAGGAGGAAATTGTTCCTCCTTCTTCAGCAGAGCATCTGATGGATTTGAACCGTGCACCTCTGGGATTGCAGTGTAGCTTCTTGCCACTAGGTCACCAGAGCTTGCCAAGCTTTCTCTTCTTAAGATTAGATCTAGGTTCTCTGAAGCCTAAATGCTAGCAAATCGAGCTTCTGTTCTTGGGAGGTGTGTGATGGAGACCTTTGTGCTGTAGTTCTCAGAATTTGTAGTTTTGTGATTTGTGTGGAAGATCATCAGAATTTTTATTTTGGGAAGCCATATTAATTTGGCTCATTTTGGGGGGTATTTTTCCTATTGGTAAATATTATCCTATATATTTTCTCATCTTTGTAATACAAAGTAAACTCTGAAAACCCCCCCAAATATTAGTTATATATAAATAATTTTTTGGAGGTTTTCAGAGTTTACTTTGTATTACAAAGATGAGAAAATTCCCAGTTCACTTTTTAAAAAAGTTTATTTTTATCCCTGCAAAAATTTACACAGCATATTAGGCTATCATTTGACAATTTTGACACAGATTGTTCACAGACATTAGTTACATTTTTCACTGTGTCAGCATTCTCTTTAGTTGGGCTTCTGGTTGTTCCATTCCTAGGACTCTAGTTTCCCTGTTCTCTTCTTGTGTTTGCTTTAGAGTCACTGTTGTTCTTTTGGTCTTCTATAGATTTTTTTTTAATTAGATTTTGTTTTTAATGAAGGCCTGTACTCATAGGGAATATCCTTTATCTTGTGTGTCACTCTGTTATTTAGCTAAAAGGTCACCTTTTAAATCAGATTTAGATTTTTTAAAATTTTTATTGTATTATTTTTACATGTACCATCAAATCAGATCTGACTGGTACAGGAGGAGATTGCCCCCTCCTTCTCCAGCAGAGCATCTGGTGGATTTGAACCGCGTACCTCTGGGATTGCAGTGCAGCGTCTTGCCACTAGGTCACCAGAGCTCCCTCAGATTTAGATTTAAAGAGTATCTCAGAACGTTATTCTGAGGGAGTCTCCTAGTTTCAATCGGCCTATTATTTCTGGACTTTACTAAAAGGAATTTGAGTTCTGTTTCACATTTCCCGCCAGTTGTATCAAGGTCCATGTATTGTGGCCCTGAGAAAACTGATTGTTAGAGCTGGCTGGGTACTATATAGTTCTTCTGGTCTCAGGGTAAATGAGGTTGTGGTACATAAAGATCATTTGTTTTGTAGACTTAGTTTCTTCCTTGAATCCTTGGTTTCCTTTCATCACTTTTGTGCTAATGGGTAGAAACCAATACTTGTATTAAATAAATATAACCTGGTCCTGAGCTAGGAGGACAAACTTTTGAGTGTAGTTGCTGTGAACTCTGATTACAAATAATATTTAGCGGCTACAGATTTTCTATTTCATGTAAGAATGCTTATTAATCAGTTCACAGAGAACTAGTAAAATGTGTATGAGGATCCAAGGGGGAGAGGATAGGAGCAGAGGGGTGAGGATGGAAGGGAAGTAATCATAGGGTCACACAATTTGATGGGCAGAGGGAGGGGTGGGCAAAGGAAATGGGAAAGATCCTGTGTGAAAAACAATGTATGCGAACTTTGTAAGTAAACCAGTATAAAAATTTTTCTTTAAAAAAAGTAATATTCTATTTTTGGTGTAAGTCTTTACAGTAAGCTGGTTTCCATTAACAATTTCTCTATACATATTATTCATAGAGTTTTTGAATGAAAACCTTGCTTGGATCAACAGTCAAATCCCTTGGTTCCAGCAGTCAGGAAATCAGGAGATGTATTTTATTGGGCAAGTCTGCTGGCTGGGGCCTCTCAAAATTCTGAAGACTTAGTGTACCTGGTTCAGGCCATGGTCTTCACAATCCCTTGCTATACATCAGAGAGCTGGACAATGAATAGCGATGACAGAAGAAGAATTGATGCCTTTTGAGTTGTGGTGCTGGAGAAGAGTGCTGAATGTCCCCTGAACTGTCAGAAGAACAAACACATCTGTCTTGGACAAAGTGCAGCCAGGGTGCTCGTCAGAGGCAAAGATGGAGAAGCTTTGTCTGTCATACTTTGGATACGTAACTAGGCGAGGCTATTCCTTGGAAAGGGACATTATGCTTGGAAAGATGAAGGGTCAGCAAAGGAAAGGAAGACCCTCAATGAGATGGATTGACACAGTGACTACAGCAATGAGCTCAAATGTGTCGGAGATGATGAGGATGGCGCAGGAGAGGAGAGGGTCGGCTGTTCACAGGGTCGCTTATGAGTAGTACTTGTTCAACGGCACCTAATAACAACAACACCGCCACACATACATACATATTGCTCATTGATATTGATGACATTTTGCACAATGTCTATGGTTTCATAATTTCCATTCTAGTTGTTCTGTTTCTGTTACTCTAGCTTTTCTGTCCCCTTTTATATATTTTCATCTTTGCTTTAGGGTAAATGTTGACTGTTTGGTCTAGCTTTTCTGTCCCCTTCTATATATTTTCATCTTTGCTTTAGGGTAAATGTTGACTGGTCTCATAGAAAGAGTTTCCTTTTGAAATATTTTATTGTGGCTTGAATGAAAGTGTATAGGGCAAATTCTTTTTCTGTTGCCCGAAATGACATGTGGAAATACCCTCTGTCGAGGCCATGCGTGCTGGCGAGTGTGCTCCCCTGTGCCGTGCCACGCCTGCTCAGCTGGGGTGTCTGCCTGTGGATCCACTCAGACGTCGCTGTTAGCGCGTGAAGGACAGACAGTAAGCGCTGGTGGCCTCGTCTGTAGCAAGGTGCGCTGCTAACCCAGATGCCATGCGTCCCTGGTAGTTGGAACCCATCAGCTGTCCCATAGGAGAAGGATGGGCAGTGTCCTTCCGTTGTAATTTATATCCTTGGAAACACCCTGAAGGGTTGCTCATGATTCCGAACCGGCTCAGTAGTAGTGAGCGAGTGAATTGCCGGACCTGGAGGCTTGGGTGTGTAACAGGGTTTACTGCGGCTGCCCTTGCCCTCTGTGGACCTTCCAGTGTCTTCCCTGGCCTTGGCCATGTCGCGCTGACCTTCCCTGTGTGTGGTATTATGTTCAGTTCAGCGGACGATGATGCTGTTTCTCGCTGGCCACAGGCCACTTTATTAGTCATTTTTCCTCCTGCGTTTTTGTCTGGTGTGAGTGATTTTTGGCCCCAGCCTGTTAAGTATTCCCTGGGAGCGCACATTTAGGATTCTAACTTGGACTGCCGAGGGGAGTGTTGTGGGCAGAGGGTCTCTGTGAATACACACTGTTACTGTGATGCTTGAAGAACTTCCAGCCTGGTGGAAGAGAGAGTACATGTCTCCCCATTCTTAACCCTTCCACTTGTGGAGTTGTGGCCACTCAGAGGTTCCCGGAAAGCAGGAGAGGTGTAACGAGGACTCAGGATGGAGCCTCATGTCAGTAATGTCTGGACGTTAAGATAGTGATTGCGGAAACCCAGCACGGTCAGACCGAGTGTCAAGCTTACAATAGTCCCACAGCGTAGGAACTACACATTTGATAGCTACAGATTTTGCAAGGCTGCACCTGTTTAAGGGGGAGAATATTTGGTGTTTTCTAAGGACGGGGCCGGTCCTTAAATGCTTTCAAGTCACCCCTTGCATGTAGTTGAAAGGAAAGGGAGAGCCCATTAGGGCAACTCTGAAAAAACCCCCCAACTAGGCACCACCTTGTGCTTGAGGGAACTTGTCCCCTCTAGTCAGCTGCCCTGATGGTGCAGTGGTTAAAGCACATGACTGCAAATCAAAAGGGTTGGTGGTTCAAGCCTATCATCAGCTGCTCCATGGGAAAGAGATGAGACCATCTGCTTCTGTGAAGATTGGATTCCCTTCAGGGTAGTTCTGCTCTGTCCTCCAGCACTGCCGTGAATCAGAATTGGGCAGTTGGTGTGGATTTGGATTGGTGTTGGTCCCCTCTGGCAGCTGTAATTAATTTTATTATGCTAAATACATGCATGTAAATATGCCAAAATGAAGGGATCAGGGGGAGAAACCTCAGGGGAGCAACACCTACCACAGAAACACACAAATAATCCCATATTTACGAGACACGAGGCTGCGTTCTGTGCTCCTTCTGCCCCCCAGGCTGACAGCATGGTGCTTTGGACTGTCACTCTTGAAGATTGACATACAACACAGCCCTGGTTCCAGGGGAAGAGTGACAATTTCAAAGAGCTTTGTAATTGTTGTTGTTAGATGCCATTGAATTGCCTGTGACTCATAGTGACCCTATATACAATACTTCTGAATCCTGCCCTAGTCTCAGCTAGTCTTACTGACTCTGCCACACCTACCTCCTTTATCCTAATTACTGTGTCAGTCTGGGGTCTTCCTCTCCTGCATTGTCCCTCCACCCTTCCAAGCATGATGTCCTTCACCAAGGATTGGCCCCTTGGTGAAAAAGTATGTGAGAGTATGTGACACAGAGCTTCAGAATCCTTGCCTCCGAGGAGCTTGGTTTCACCTTCTCCAAGATAAACCTGTTTGTTTTCTTGGTACTCAATACCCTTCTCCAGCACATGGCTCAAAGGCATCAATTCTTCTGTCATCTCTAGTCATTGTCCAGCTCTCTGATGCATAGCAACTAATTACAAAAACCGTAGTTTGAATCAGGTGCACCTTAGTCTCTAGACTAACATTGTTGCTCTTTAGCACTTTGAAGATGTCCCTGATAGCTGCTTTCCCCAAAGCAATTGGACTTTTGATTAAGTAGTGTAACTTAATTATAAACCAAGTTTAAACCGTGTGTTAAAAGTTCTGTGGTGGATCACTGGTAGGGTTCTCACCTTCTAGGTAAGAGACATGGGTTTGATTCCTGGCCAGCACGCCTCATGTGGAGCCACCCCACATCTGTGGACGCTTGGCATGTTACTACGATGCCGAACGCATTTCCGTATCTACTTCTGCAAATGGCTTTAGTAAAATCCTTAGGATCCCATGGCCTGGTCCACAATCCCGCATAGGCACGGCACAGGGGAGGCAGCGTGGGGTCGCCGTGAGCTGGGGGCTGCCTTGTCCTCTGCATCTGCTTGGGATCCCTTGGCGTTCGTGTTCTTCTATCCCCCTAAGTCAACCGCCACTGTCTGCCTTGGGTTTGCTTCCTTGTTGAGCTGAAGGGTCTCACTATGAGGCATTAGGAGTCTGTTCCTTTTCAGCACATTCTTTTTTCCTCCTTTATCAGGTAATATGTATCCACGATGTTTCTTCCACATACCGAGTACCTGTGCTTTTGGATGAACAAGGCATCGTTAAGTATTTTAAGGAGAGGTTGGACCTGCCTGTGACAGATTCTGCGACTAATTTGCTTTTCAAGTGGAGAAACATGGCCGACAGGTACATGCAAAGGCGGACGAATACATTCATGGTTAATTTGTGGGTTTGGGGTGGGGCAGGGAGCAGGATTCACAGTACTTACAGAGTAACGAGATCAAGGTCAGCTTTCTCTATGTGTATGTTAGGCCTGCCCTTGTCTAGCTGTGTTTACCTTGCTGGGGTTCCAAAGCCAATTCTACAAGGAACCCTAGTAGTGCAACTGTTGGCTGCTAATGAAAGGGTTGGCAATTCAAACCCAGCCAGCAGCTCTGTGGAAGGAAGTCCTGGTGATCTACGCTCATAAAGAACACAGCCTGGAAGATCCGAGGGGCAGCAGCGTCACTGGGGTTGGTGTAAGCCGGTGCAGTGTCACCTCCGCGCCCCGTGGACTGCCTCCTGGACCAGGCCATACAGAAGCTTTGGAAAAAAACCAAACCCAACAACACAAGAAGCTTGCTGTTTCTTCTCCGACTCCTGCAGCCCTTCACTGTGTTTCCACAACGAAATCTCAACAAGAGGAGCCGCCCCGTCCTTCTGCCCTGGAGCCGCTGGTGGATTTGAGCTGTCTTTTGGTTCATGCAGTTTGCTGATCATGTCCCTGCCAGTGTCCTTTACACAGAAGCTTTACTTGTGATGCAGTTGTAAATTGCTTTAGTACTTCTCAGCTTTTGATTGGCCGTCATTGGCTTGCAGGCCCAATCTAATGAGGATGAGCCCATGTGGAGAGCCTTAATTACGACTTTCTTTACATATAAGATCAGATGCCCAGGTCGGGGAGGGGCCGGCATTCAACTCACCGGGATTTGAAGGGAAAGTGCTGTTGGCCTTGCTTTCTCTGTTGACAATGTGATGGGGGCTCCTGTCCCCTCTGTGCAGCAGGGGATCAGGAGGCAAACAGAGGTCAGAGCGGCAGCTGGGACGGTGGACAGTGGAGGTCCAGTGCTGCCTAGCTGCCAGGGTCCCTGGGAAACTGGGTTAGATTACTGCTGGACCCCGAGGCCAGAGGCAAGAAAGTGTCCCTGTGCTTGGCTAGGCTAAAAGGCCTCCAGAGCCGGCCTTTAGGTCCCAAAAGTGGAGCAGGCTGGAGGCTGTGGGCCCAGAACCTTCCTTGAAGCTCTTCAGGAGCCCGAAGATCCCAGAAGGAAGCGCTCTGGGAAGCGAGAGGGAGACAGGCAGAGGCTGCTGCATGATGCCTCCGTCCTAGGGAAATCCAGACAGTGGGGACCGGATGGTGTTGATGCCAGTCTTCCTCCTCCTGGTAGCACGCCTGTCAAGTGGTGTGCGGGTGTCACACTTTGGCCAGGAAGCCTCCTCTGCTCCCCGCTAATCGCGTCTCCGATACTTGTCCCTCCACTTCCTGGATATCCTGTTCTTTTCTGTAATTTGCATCCTGCATGTGGAAGTGGGGAGAAGCACGGGCAGCTTGGGAGACTCTAGAGCAACATGACATTGGTCATAAATGTAGGCACTTCAGTCATCTTACTAGCAGTTTGAATGGGTAGCTTCCGGTGCGCTTTCTCCACCAGCCTGTGTGTAAAAGCTCCTCTCTCGCTCTTTGTAGCCCTGGCTGATGACAGGGTGTGAAGGAAGAGCACTCCTCACCATGGTAACACTTTTGTCCCAAGACGCTTTGTAATATCAAAGCCCTAAAACCCCCCATCAGTCCCAAGATGCCATTTGCACATACCTTATACCAGACCAGATATTTCTTATGTTCTTTCTTTGAGCAGATTTCCTGACAAAAGCCGCACGAAAAGATTGTCTCTCTAAGGGAAAAATGTGATGGAGACTTGTATGGAGAACAGAATTTTCTCATAAAAATGATCTCAATGGCTTGTAATATTTTAAATGGTTCTCTTAGCACCATTCTTCAGGCCTATCATGAATAACCTGGCTTGTGTGCTGGCTGGGAGTGTAGCAGTATTGAATGCCCACTCTTTGAATGCATTTTCCTACGCAGTGTCACCTTACAGAGTTAAGACTGGAACGTTGTTTGTTTTATTTTATGCTGATTTATTTATAAAGTTTGGATACATTATTTTTCACACTTGGAATGTTTTTCAACTGCCATTCAAAATGCATTTTCTTACACAATGCCATATTAAAAGCAGCTTCAGACGTCTCTCTTTTTCCCAATTGGTGTCTGCTTGTGGAGCTGTGACGGTGCAGCGGGTCACATGTCGGCCGCTAACTGGAAGGTTAGCGCCCTGAACCCACCGGGGGAACAGACGGCAGCCTACCTCTGTCGCTGTACAGCCTGCGAAACCCTGTCTGTCCGGTCGCTCCCTCAACTCATTGACATCGAGTCACAACTTCATAGCTGATCCTCTGTTGGGTTTTCTGAGGTTTTATTCTCAGGGGAACAGCCTGCCCATCCTTGTCCCGCCGAGCACCTGCTGGATTTAAACCACCAGAGAGGTGCCGCCTTCAGGTTAGAAGCACCACCAGTGTCCTTTACTCAGTGGCAATTGATGGCTGGCGTGTAAGCCAGCTCTGGGATCTCTTAGGATGTTGTAGTCTGTTGCCATACACAGTTTTCATTATTTAGAGGAAATTTTGGGTCAGCTATATCAAGTGTGAAACTCATCTGCTTTGAAGGGTTTACTATAACAGTCTCATTGTAATGTTTGTAACGTTATGTTAGATACAGATAACCTGTGAGCCTCTCTTCTCCCCAGGTATGAAAGGTTACAGAAAACGTGCTCCATAGCCCTGGTTGGCAAATACACCAAGCTCAGGGACTGCTACGCCTCCGTGTTCAAGGCCCTGGAACACTCGGCCTTGGCCATCAACCACAAGTTGAATCTCATGGTGAGTCCTGCTTTGGGCCTTCCACACATCTCAGCCGTGTTTCATCTGTCACAGAGGCAGGTTGTGTTGGGGTCTCTAAGATCACCTCCAGTTTCGATGTTTTGCTACGAGGACTCTCAAGTCGTGTTCACAGCTGTGATTTATTTTAGTGAAATCGGCAGAGGGAAAAGGTGCACTGGGTGAAGCCTGGGGAGACTAGTTCCACACTTCCAGAGCCCTCTGCCCATGAGGATGTGTAAGACACGCTGACTCTTCACACCAATGAGTTGTGCAGCCTGTACACAATGTCTACCAGGAAGCTCTTGTAGAGACCCACAGCTCACGGCTATATTGGGGGCTGGTCGTAGGCTTCTTCCACCTAACACGTTCCAAATTGCCAGGCTCTCCCTCAAGGCAGGCAGGTGTTCTGCACGAACCGTGTTGTTTGTGCAGAAGCACAAGGAGCCAGTCAGACCAGCTGATGGTGGAAATCTTCCTGAAATCGAAGTTCCCAGATGCCAGCCGAGGGCCAGCCTGGCAAACGGGCCTTTCCCAGTCTTGAGCCTGCTGTGTTAAAACTCTTCTTCACACAGGTTTAAGGCGCAGTATTGGAAATCAGTCTTAGCATGTATTTCATGCTTGTTAAATGTGTTATGTTTGGCTAACAAGAAATCACTAGAAATTACTTTTCCCTTCGGCTCTGGAATTGAGTCCAGGTTTTTAAAAAAATGCCATGTTCAACTTAAAAAAAAACACAACAACAACAACCATATTCCCTTTTCTAACCTGGAATTATTATAGTTGGCAAACAGTGATTCGTGTTTAAAAATAAGCGTTATGGCATAGGAGAGGTGTAGTTATCTACTACACGTCTTTTAAAAATGTTAAAAGCTGTTTCAGTAAAACCATTTTCAAAGTTGACTAGGCTGAGAATACGTCCCAGCTGTCATCCTGAGAGCAGGTATTTCACAGTTCACCCGCTCAGTCCCTCCCGGCTGTGGACCTGGGACCAGCTCCTAGCTGACCCCAGCAGGGTTTCGAGAGGCTGTCAATTGCATGGGAAGAGAATGCCTATCTTTCTCCCCGGAGCTGCTGGTGGAATCGAACCTCCAGGGAGGCTTGTTAGCAGTGCAGCTCCCCACAGACGAGCCACAGGGCTCCTTCACAATTCAAGCAGGCCTCATTTTCTGAATTTAAGTGGCAAAACTGTGCGATACTAAGCAAAAAAGAGATATTTATATCTTCAAGAAGTGAAGTAACTTTCTCTTAGAAGACAACCTCAGGACTATTACACTTCCTCTGTCTTCTTTTTTATCTCTCATGTTCTAATTTCTTTTTATTTTGTCCTTTTGAGGAATTTTTCACTTTCTGTCCCTCTCATCCATCATCTTCCCACTTCTTTGAGAAGAACCAACCGTGCCACAGGCACCAGAGCACAGATTGTTATAAAGCCTGTCACATTTTGTAGCTTAAAATATATTTAGGTAGTCATTTTAAAGAGAGAAACACTAAAGGAATAATTACGTAAGGACTAGTAGGAGTCCTGGTGGTAGAGTAGTTCCAGTCTTGGCTACTAACCAAAAAGTAGACAGATCAAACCCGCCATTCATCCACTCGATGGGAGAAAGAGGAAACCGTTGGCTTCCATCAAGGTTTCCAGGCTTGGCTGGCTACCCAGTGGGACAGTTCTCCATCCTACCGACTTGCTGTGATTTGGAGTTAAATGAATGGCACTGATTTATTTAAGGTCTCCTGTGTACACAATTTTTCATTTATTAGAATTCATTGACATTTGCCTCTGCTAAGTACAGTTTGAATAATGGCCTTTTCACATTCTCTTAGTGTAAGTTTGTCTTTTTTTTTTTAAATTGTGGGATAAAGCTGTCCCCAGCCTGTGCCAGTGGTCAGAAGATGCTGGAGGTCCCCTGTACCAGCTCCTCGTCTGATCCCGAGCAGTCCTTCCAAGGGACCTTGACCCACCACTGTGCTTGGGAGGGTGACCTAACTTCTCTATTCTGCTTCCCTGGACTTGAGAGAAAAGTCCAGTGGCTCCATGCTGTCTTCTCAGCTGACTCTGAGCCAGGCATAGGCTCCACACAGGCCAGGGAGTGACCCCAGTGTCTTACCCCTCTATCACTCTCAAATTCCCATGTTAGACCCATGTAATGCTATTTATTTGCTCGGTTTGAGATACTTGAGATTTTTGTTGTTATTTTGGTTTGGTTTTTGAAACCAAGAGATTCTAAAACCAACATTGAAGCGTCATTTGAAAAACTGGTTAACATAAATAAGACCATGGAGAGCTTGTAATAGGTGAGCCTGTGGTGGGCCCCAGGTGAAGAGCCTGTGACGTGCCCCTGGCTCCAGAGATGCTCGTCCTCTCCCACCTTCTGTCCCGTGACTGCCGGACATGGGAGTCCAGTCCTTTCTGCGTGACACGTTTAAGCCACATTTAGGCCAGCTGAGATGAGGGCAGGTTCACTTGGAAGCTCTGAGTGTATGCATGGGTAATGAGGAACACAGGGCACGGTCACCGCACCTGCTGTCCTCACCCTCCTTGGCCCCCTCCATCCCTAGGGTCAGAGTGCACAAGGCACATGCATCAGAGAGCTGCAAAGTGGGCCAGATGGTGGGAAGAGTGCCCCACCCCACCCGATGTAGCATGTCCCAGCTTTATGGGGTGAAAATGGCATCCAGATGGGAGAAGCAGGGAAGCTGGGGTGTCCTCTGGAGTAAGGTGTATGCCCAGTGGGGACAGCAGGCTCTCTGAAGAGTGTGTGTCTTCTCATTAGAGCACTCATGTCAGGGCATGAGGAGGACATAGTGACGCCCGGCCAAGGGCTATGCAGTGACTGCACCATTGCTGCTGGGCTTTCTGAAGGCCTCCACAGGGCAGGAAAGAAGTGTTTTCCTGCCACCAGAAGAGTTTTGCCCTAGAAACAATGTGTTCTTTGTTCTGAGTGTGCTCATTAAGGTTGGGCCAGGGCCAGGGCAAAGAAATGGTGATGCCTGCAGCTCTGCTCCTCTGGAGAAGGTCCTGGGGACTCTCCTTCAGGCCTTCCTGCCCAGGGGGGAGCCCCTTTTTTGGTGTTTCCTTCCTCCGTGCTGGGGCCTAGAAGACCCCTGGCTTCTTAGTGGAGTGTGAGATGTTAATTAAAAATGGAGATTAATGCTACTTTCTCGTCCCCCATACTTCTGAAAGGGGACAGCCAACTGTCACCTGCCAAAATGCAAATGAGAGTTTATTGCTGAATGAAAAAATCATGTGGATGATTAAAGAGGTGGACATGGAAAAAAAAAGTTGTGGGATAATATGCTTAGTATGAAATACACCATTTTAACCATTTCAGAATGAACGATCCAGTGTAATTGAGCAAATTTACAGTGTTGTGCAACTAGCCCCTCTGTCCACCTCCAGAATATTACCATCATCTCCAGAGGGAATCATTCACTCACTTCTTATCTCCTCCCAGTGCTTGGCACTCACCGATCTATCTCTCTGAATATACCTGTTCTGGATATGACACATACTTCTAATCATAGCATATGTGACCCTTTGTGTCTGGCTGCTTTCACGAAGCATGTTTTCAAGATTCATCTACTATGTGTGGTTCGTGTAGCATTTCTCAGTACTTTGTCCCTTTTTCTGGCTGAATAGTATTCCACTGTATGTGTGTAGCACATTTTGTTCATCTAGTCATCGGTTGAGGCACATTTGAGTGTTTCTTTTAGTTATTGTGGACAATCCTCAATGCCTTTCACAATGTTTTAAAGAAATAATTTATTGTGGTAAGACATAAAAACCACACAATTTGCCATTGAACCCATTTTTGAGTGGATATTATTGTGGCATTTATTACCGTCCCCATGTTGTTAAACCGCAAACTACGGCCTATCGTCACCATCTTTTCATCACCCCAAACAGAAGTTTCTCATTTACTGCTGCCCTGAGTCCTCAGGAGTCCTGGTGGTGCAATGGTTAAGCATCTAGCTTCAAACTCACCGCGGGAGAAAGACCTGGAAATGTCCAGTGTACAGGCCAGTGTTTGCTCTAGAACCGTTTAGGGAGTGGTGTGTCACAGGGTTTTTGATAGAAAAACTAAACAACTCGGTGCTGTCTAGTCAGAACTCACTCATAGCTGACCCTCCAGCAGGTCTGCAGAGACTGCCCTGGCTCCTGGAGCCGCTGGTGGATTTGAACCGCCAGAGTGGTGGAGCCTTTGGGTTAGAAGCTTGACTCTCTACGGACCACGCCAATGTCCCTTTAATCTTTGCATGTTTTTCAGTACATAGACTCCATTGACCTGGAGCAAAGCACCAAAAATGAGGAGCCTGTGAAATTCCACGAAGCATGGCAGAAGATCTGCAAAGCCGAGTGAGTACCCATGGACACTACCCTGGATGCCCTTTCCAGAGTGACCCAGGGAACTCAGAATGGATCGGTTTCTGAGTGGGAGCTTGGGGTGCTGTGGTCATTGCAGGAGGCTATGCTGCCTTGCCAACTTGATGTGGTGGTGGGGTGGGGGCACAGGGAATGGGGCTCATGTAGGGAGAAGAGGGATATGGGATGGAGTGTGTATCGAACTTTGACTTTTAGCATGGGAGCTTCAAGGCTACTAACTGATGCAGCAATGGGAATGGACTTTTCATATAAGAAAAGTGCAGGAATGAGAACGCACACTTCTGATTATCTGTTCTAGGCCATGGCTTTTGCAGTTCGGTTTTATTTCGTAAATAACGCGTAGACCTCTAGGGGGCAGCATTGTACCACGAGAGCGACTCCTCCTCCCCAGTCAAGGGAGGGTTTGCCTAGAAGGTCGGAGGAGCCTTTCAGCCAGGAAGTCTTTTTTTTTTCTTCTCTGCTACTTAAGGGGCAATTAAAATCTTAGGCTGACTGGCCCGATTTAGCCCTTTCTGATTATGTAATGCAGCTTATCGTTTTTACGGCAGTACTTTGAAAAGAACCTCATTGTTACAAGTTCCTGGTCACTTGTTTTCCTTGTCCCTCCCTCAATGACCCCAAGGCCAGCAGGACAGAGCAGGCCCTGTACGGGCCCTGTGGTCTGATGCAGGTGGAACCACTGTGATAGTCATGGTGCTTTCAAGGGCTCATTGTCAGAAAGAAGCTTTTCTTCCTAGTTGGCCTTAGAGTGGATGTTCTGCATCAGCAACACATCAACATGCAGGCCTCCACAGACGGTCGTGTGGAGGTGCAAGGGCTGGGCCGCAAACCCATGTCTCCCACACAGAAGCCAAGAATTCTAGCACTGAGCTGGCACTGCCCGCGGGCAGACCCTCAGCCTGTTTTGATTCAGCTTCTTCTCCTAGTGCCATTTGTTGTCGAGCTGGGCTTCCCAGTGACTCTGCTGAGAGGCCACAGAGGGCCTGGCTGGCAGCATCGTCCAGGCCAGTCAGGAGACAGTGCTGCAGCTTTTCTGTAACACTGGGACGGTTTCAAGGAGAAAGTTCAGCGTGTGAAATCCGCCAGCCAGTTCCGAAAATGGACCTCATGCATATTCATCAGTGATTTGTGTTAAGCATTGGACTGGGGATCGGTAGGCATGAATGATTTAACCGAGAAACTGAGAAGAGGGGCTCTTCCAACTCATCCCCATCTTGTGTCGGTTGCAGTGGTATTCTTGTGCCCGGAGGCTTCGGAGTCAGAGGCACGCTGGGAAAACTCCAAGCGATTTCTTGGGCAAGAACAAAGAAGATTCCTTTTCTGGGTAAAACTAATGTTCCTTTCTCCTAATGGTGACTGTATTAGATCCTTGACACCTCATAACTAACAGGGGAGCACTGGTAGTGTAGTGAGAAAGAGTTGTGCTGCCAACCTGAGGGCATGCTGTTTGAGTCTACCTTGTGGTCAGCGGGAGAAAGGTGAGCAGTCTCCTCCTGTGTGATTTACTGCCTGTGCAAACCCTCCGGAGGTCAGCGCAAGGTGGTGATTAACACCAACAGCACCAACAGCAAGTAGCATGAGAGTGAAAGGTACGCTCTTAGCTCGGGAAGTTCAGTCACTAAGTCAGCTACAGTTGCTGGCAAGTGACAGCCTGGAAACCAAGGCTGGCTGCAGTCTGTTGTGAGAAAGTAAGTTTGATTGGAACACAGCCATACTAATTTGTTTCCGTTTTATCTATGGCAGCATTTGCAGTACAATTAGAAGGGTTTTGAGAGCCTACAGTCTTCAAAGCCCAGAATATTGACTACCTGGCCCTTTCTAGTATGTTTGTGCACTTTCTGATCTGTTTAAAGGACCTGCTGCCATTGTGGTTGTGTAACCACAGGCTGGGGAAGTCACTGTGGCATGTGCCCTTCGCTAGTTGCCTTCGGTTCTGACTCATGGCCACTCCTTGTGTGTCAGGGTCGAGCTGTGCTCTTCAAGGCTTTCAATGGCTGGTTTTTCACAAGTAGATCAGGGCTTTCTTCCGAGTGTCTCTGGGTAAACGCAAAGCTGTACCCTTTCAGTTAGCAACTCAGCACATTAACCACGGGCTCCCCGACCTGCCATTAACTCTTCCACTCCTCTACCCATCCTCTCACCACATCAAGTAAAAGCTAGTCCACAGAACACCACGATATTCTGTGTAAGTAGGGAGAGAATGAAGTGGAAGTTTCAATGTTTACTGTAGAATATGCCGTCAGAACGACCGCTTACCTCCCCATGGAAGGGGCATCACAATGTGGAAGGTTCTGGTCTTTGGAACCTTTTCATTTAAATTGGAGTGTGAGGCTTTCCAGCTGTTTCACACTTACCAGCTTTGATGTTGGCATGCCCAGTGGTATTGTTTTCTCTTCTCCTTCCTGGTGTACTGTATCTCTGTGTTTAATAACATCTAGGCTGTTTCTCTGGTGTTTGTTTAGTGGAGAGAAGCAAACACACTCGGAGGCTGGAAGCTCCCGAATCTAGGAGGTGTGTGTTGGCTTTGTCTCTACCCTGACCTGTGTCCATGTGTAGTGAGCTCGCTTGGAATGGAGAGATGGATTATGGGAGATCCCTGTGGCAACAGCCTGGGCTCTCACAGCTCTCTGCCTTGATCCATTATTGAACAGCACTCAGTCCATTTTCGTCTCCCTTCCTTGTCCTTTATCACACTGACATCCGAGAGAATGTGCCACCTCCCCAAGCTGCTACTTTTCTTCATCCTATCAGTTGTAAGGGGGGCCTGGTGGACGCCTCACTCCACTGCTCCAGGTGAGCGCTCCTTGGGTTCTAGTGTCGACAGCCTGCTGCCAGAGTCTGTGCTGACAGGTGGCAAATTGAGTTGGGGTATTGTAAGGTCAACTCTGAGGGAGCCGCTCGTGGGCCTCAGTGTGGGGACGGATTTGGGAGCAGAATTTGCCTTTGGAATCCTGGCCTCTCTTCTGCCTCAGCCTGCTTTTTCCCTCAGCCCGGGAATGGGTGCGGGAGGGATTGCTCCTGGGCAAGCTAAACCCCACTGCAACTGCCCTGAGCGCAGAGGATCAAGCAGTGAACGCAGAGTATGCATTCTAGATGGAGGAGACAGACAGCAAAGCAAAGAACAGACAGCACAAATCAACGCCAAACAGATCCATTCAGCTTTTTTTAAAAGGTGGTAAAATACAGTTACACATTTGCCATTTCCACCATTTTCACTAGTACAGTTTGGTAACACGTTTATCATGCTGCCATGGTCCCTGTCCATGTCCCAGAGTTCTTCAGTATCTTTAACAGAAACTCGGCATCCCTTCAAGTAAGATCTCCCTCCCCCTTCCCTCCTGCCCCTGGGCACCACAGCTGAACTTTGTTTTCTATATGCCTGCTTAGTCTAGATAGTTTCTCAAAGTGGCATTGTGTCTGGCCTATGCCACCCAAGGCCGTCAGGGTTCCTGTATGTTGTGGCATGTGGCAGCACTGAGAAGTCCCCCACTGGGTGTGTGTACTACGTTCTGCTGATGGGCATTTGGGGGGGGTTTCCACCTTTTGGCCACAGTGACTGGTGCTGCTATGAACCTGGTCGTGTTGCTGTGTTGGGTTCTCTTGGGTGTTTTGCTGGGCTGGAACTGTAGGGCCCTCTGCTAATGCTGTTTCACTCTTGGAGGAACTGCCATTGTTGATTTCCTTCTTATTTGTGCTTTCTGAAACAGGAGTTTGCCTTGGGATGCAGCTAGCAGTAATTGAGTTCGCCAGAAACTGTCTGAATTGGAAAGGTAAGGCCCGTGTTTGTCAAGCAAAACCAAACCAAGCCAAACCGTTCGGCAATATTGAAGGCTTATTGAGTATTTTCTTAATCTTCAGATGCTGATTCCACAGAATTTGACCCCAATACCCCCATTCCACTGGTAAGTGGTTTATTACTCTTTTGGGCCCACCTTTATTGTTTGTTTTCTGGTTCTTGCCTAAAGTCCTAAGGGCCTTGTGGTTCTCCCTCTCTCCCTTAGAGCACCAGACTATTTAAAGTGATGTGTGTATATTTTCATTATTATTACTCTATCATACCGCTCTACAACCCCTCTGATTGGCTTTGCCTTGAAGACACAGTCCTAGAGTGATTGTTCTTCATAGCAGCTTTCAAATCTAATGTTTAGCAAAGGATTAAATTGGCTATGACAACAATTTCTAACAGTCAGTGTGAAGAAATGGGCTGTCTCGTCCCTTGGCTTGCCCCCGTCAGTCTTGCTCCCACACTGGCTGTCATCTACCTTTCTAAAACAAAAGTGACAACCGTGCTGCAGCCTTGCGCCTCGCACCAGTTCCTTTTCACTTCGAGCACTCGGGCCACGTTTCTTGGTGAGACACCAAGGGCCATTGTGCCCTGTCATCTATCACTTGACCAGTTCATCTCACGATATCCCCGGTCCTCCCATGCTTTGGAGTTTGTGCTTGGACATTCTGAATCATTGCTCAAGCAGATCCCGAGATGCCCTCTGCCAGAGATGCCCCTTTCCTGCGGCCTTTTTCTTCGGGAAGCTCACTCACACCAACAAAATCAACCGACCAACTTGGTGACCAGAGACTTTCTTTCTAACCGTCCCAGGGGTCTTTCCTCTCTTCCACCCCCCAACTCTGTCCCTTCTTTCTTACAGTTGTTACTGACGGAAACACACCCCTCACTTGTAAATAACCACTTTATTGAGATGCATACCTTACAATTCACTTATTTCAAGTGTAATTCAGTGATTCAGGTATATTCACAGAGCTGTGCAACACAAAAGCCCATTCGTTATCCGAGCCCTAAGCAGTTGTGATCATTCTGTTTTCTGTCTGTGGAATCATACGCTCTGTGGTCCTTTGTGACCGGCTTCCTTCACTTGGAGCGTCAAGTTGTCAAGGCTTGTTCGTACAGCAGAAAGTACCACTGCTTCATTGTTTTCTCTCATGCACTACTATTGTTGTGTGCCGTGGCGTAGCAGCCGACTTGTAGCTGGGCCTCCAGCAGCGGGCTTTCTGAGGCTGTAGATAGCATGGGAGAAGTTTACCCATCTATCTCTCACAGAGCACGCCTGGTGGATTCGAACCGCCTGCCTTGGGGATGGCAGCGCAGCTCCTTATCTGTTATGGCATGTAGGTAGTCATGATCATTCAATGCTTTTGATCCATTCTGTGAAAAGAGGACGCTATGTGACTTGAACGTTTTGTGACACCACTTTGTAGCCTCGTCTTGCCCCTTTTCTTTAGGCTTCTCAGACACGCTTTGTGTCTTTGCAAGAGAGGGGTTCAGGCTTGAACTTGGTCCTCGTCCGCATCGCTGATGATTTCTCCGTGTCAGACGTGGTTTCCTCATGTACCTCTGTCAGCCTTGGGGCTTTCCGTGGGGCCGACCCTTTGACATCTGGGAGAATGTTGGCCTTGCTGGCGGGCGGCATGTCTCAGTCTGGAGCAGTAGGTTCAGTGATCAGTGAATGAGTGGGGAAGGAAAGGCGAGTGTGTAGTGAGGCTTATATGTGTGTATATATGAAATGATGATTATGAAATGAAACACATACGAATGTTGGAATGAAAAGGAGTAAAACCCAAGCAGACATGAGTATTAAAGTTCATATGCATTCTGCCGTGATCCACGTGGCGGTGCATTTGTGTTGAGATGTGAGTTGCTAGTGTTGTGTGTAACAAGTTGTTGTGCGTGCTGTGTCTTGCCCTCTGATTGGGATTTCTGAACTGTTATAGCCTGTGGGCCGTGGCTGTGTGCGTGGACAGAGTCCTGAGGACTCGTGGGGTGTGTGACTCTGTGTGTGTGTGTGTGTGTGTGTGTGTGTGTGTGTGGTTGTTGAGGCAGCTGTGCTCATAGCGACCGTCTTGAGATCCTTGCCTGATCCTGCCTGTCGGTGCCCTCACTGGGTTAATCCATCTTGTTGACGGGCTTCCTGTCTTTCACTAACCCTCTATTTCCAAGGATCGGTCCCTCCTGAGAACATATATAAATTTAAAACTTGGCTTTTTCACAATTTTTGATTGTACATTTCAGGATATTACCATGCTGTGAAATCATCACCACTGTCTATTTCCACAAGTTCTTTCTCCAGACACAAACTCAGCACAATTTCAGCAATAACACCCGTTCACCTTTTCCCTCAGTCACTGGTGACCATTGATTAGCTTTTGTCTCTTTGTATTTTCCTATTAGGTATTTTCTTTGTGGATACCAATGGGCTTGCATTTAACATCTTAGATGCATAGCAGTCTACTTTAAATTGATACCAATTTTACATAAACGACATAGGCAAAAACACTATTCCTTTTTTCGTTCCTTCCCATTTATGTTGTTATTATGACAGATTGTACATTATATACCCAATAACATAGGTTTATGATTATTTTTATGCAATTGTCTTTTAAATCATATAGTACTTAAGGAGAGTTCCAAGAGAAATCTACTTTATGTTTACACAAGAAATTCCTTTTACTCAGAAGTCTTCTTTCCTTCATCTGACTTGAGCTCCTGTCCAGTGGATGTCCTTTCAGTTCTTGCAGAAGAACTCCCCTTAGCATTTCTTATGTTGTTGCTGTTGTTAGGTGCCATGGAGTTGAGTATGAAACATAGCAACAGACCTGAACTCTGTCCTATCCTGTACTGGCCTCACAATCTCTGAGACGCTCAAGTTTATTGCTGCATCCACCTGGTGGAGGGTCTTCCTCTCTGCTTCTGTCCCTCCACCTTGCCAAGCATGATGTCCCTCTCCAAGGAGTAAGCTCTTGTGGCAACATGCTCAAAGTCTGTGAGATGAACTTTTATCATCTTGGCCTCCAAGCAGCACTCTGGCTGCCCCGAGTGGCAACACTCCCTCAGCTTTGGTAGACCTGAGAGAATCATAATTTTGCCCTCGTTTTTGAAAGACAGTTTTTCCAGAAAGAGAATTCTTGCTTGATAGTTCTTCGCTTTCAGCCTTTACATATGTCATCTTGCTGCCTTCTTGCCTCGGAGGCTTCTGAGGAGAGGGTCCCATCTGATCTTTTGGAGGCTCTCTTGTGTGTGTGTGTGTGTGTGTGTGTGTGTGTGTGTGTGTGTGCTAAGACACCCTGGTGGCTCAGTGGTTAAACAGCTCTCCTGCTTATGTTTCACTGTCTGAAGAAAGTGTCCAGACAGCCTCTACTATATGAGGGGCTTAATTTCCTCCATATTTGTATCAAAGATTGTTACTGTTCTTCTTCCAGCCAGCCTAGTAGGGGTGATTAAAAAAAAAATTCCTGCTATTGAGATGTACCCTATATTTCAGGCTGTAGCGTTTGACCTTCTGCAGTGAGTGTTTGAAGTCTACTTCACTTTCTGCGAGCAAGGCTGTGTCATGTGTATCACGCAGGTCGTTACTGAGTCTTTCGCCAATCCTGGTGCCACATTCTTCATATAGGTTATCAAGACATTTTGCTGGAAAAAAGTTTTGGGGTTTTTTTTTTCAACAATGGTGACAGGACAACTGGTGTCTACATGTAAAAGAGTAAGAGACCCTTATCTCATACTGTTGTTGTTGACTGCCTTTGAGTCGAGCACGACTCATAGCGACCCTACGAACAAAAGGCCTAAAGCCCCTCTACAACTATCGACATTTATCAAAGTTCTTAGAGTTTCTGGGGGAATGTTGTTTAGGAAGTAGATGTCACTCCTGCTTGTAAACCTGTCATAGTATGTTATTGTTATGTGCCATTGAGTCACCTGCGATGCATAGCGACCCTACGAATAGCAGCTCTGAACCCTGCCCTGTCCTGAGCCAGTCTCACGGTTTCATTTTTTTTTTTTTTTATGTGTGTACCGTCAAATTGGGTCTGACTGGTACAGGAGGCGATTGTTCCTCCTTCTTCAGCAGAGCATCTGGTGGATTTGAACCGCGCACTTCTGGGATTGCAGCGCAGTTTCCTGCCACTAGGCAACCAGAGCTCGCCAGTCTCACGGTTTCTGACATACTAACCCCCATTGTCCCAGTCACTGTATCAATCCATCTCATCGAGGGTCTCCCTCTCCTGCACTGTCCATCGACCCTTCTGAGCATGATATCCTTCTCCGAGGACTGCTCTCTCCTGTCCATGTGCCCAAAGTAAGTGAGGCAGAGCTTCAAAATCCTAGCCTCCAAATAGAGACTTGGCTTCTTCACCCTCTCCAAGATAGACCTATTTGTTTCCTTGGTGGTCCATGGTATGTTCAAGACTCTTCTTTCTCCAGCACCACAATTCGAAGGCATCGATTCTTCTGTCATCCTTAGTCATTGTCCAACTCTCTGATGCATAACAAGTAATTGAGAGGACCGTGGCCTGGATTAGGTGCACCTTTGTATCCAGACTGACATTGTTGCTCTTCAGCACTCTGGAGAGGTCCCTGGCAGTAGATTTTCCCAGTGCAATGTGTCTTTTGATTTCTTGACTGCTGGTGTTAAGAGTGTTAATTATGGATCCAAGTAGATACAAGATTTACTAAAAATGGAATAAAAACAGTGACTCTGAGAAGAAAGCTTAGCCTGACATCCTCATAACCTTGGGTTAGGCGGTAATTTCTTAGATATGACAGCAAAACACAAGCTGCAGCAGAAAAAGAATTGTACAAATTAAATATCGTAAAAATGACAAATATTTGAAAAAAAATGAAAAGCTTTAGTGCTTCAAAGGACACACTGAGTAATTGTAATAGATCAGTGGTCCTCACCCGGGCCAGGTATGTCCCTGTGGGCTCGTCTTGCAATGTCTGGAGACAGCCTGGCCCTCCCAGGGAAGGCTTTGGTGGGTATAGGCCAGTGCTGCTATCAGCTGCCCCCCTCCCCCCGCAGCACCAGGAGGCCTCCCCACCACAAAGTGATCTGGCTGCAGATGTCGGCAGCACGTATGCTGAAAATGATCATGTTTTGGAGAGAAGGTTTTG